TTTTTCTCATTTTTTTTCTTAAAGGGCTACAGCTGGGGCAGGCAGAGCAGCCATGGGGGGGCTAGGGGAGAAGGGGAGTTGAGGGGCTCATCCAGAGTCCCGCATGCAGTGTAGGGCAGTGTGGGGCAGTGTGGGGAGTGGGGATCGCCCCCCCACCTGGCAACACCCGGTGAGCTTTTTTTAAAGCACTGGGAGCTGGGGTGGGTGGGACAGCCATGGTGGGGGGGCTGGGGGAGTGGATGGGGGTCACGAGGGGCTGGAGAAGCAGCCAGGGGATGAATCCTGGCAGGTGTCTCCCCATGTCCCTCTCCCCTCCTCCAGCCCTACCCTCCCCTGCCCCGACTTACTGGCTCTGAGTCTGGCTGCAGCTCCCTGTTGCAGCCACTGGGTACTGTCTGAATCACTGAAGCTCTCTGAATGTTGTCTGAAGATTTGGAGAGCTTCAGATTGATTTGGACCCTTTTATTGGTCCCCTGATTCAATTCAGATTTGGAGAATCGGGCTGAATCTCCTCCAAATCGAATCAGCACCCAAAACTTTGCACAGCCCTACTGAGCAGCACCCTATTAAAAAAATTAAGTTATCTATCTATGTTGTATAATTTGTTCCTTAAAAAGTGTACCTAGCACTTTGGTTTTCTCCTGTTTGTCCTAGATGATTTGTGTTACAGAGACTGTGCTTAGGAACTGAGCGCACAAACTTCCTTTGTTGGATTAAAAAAACAACAACATCTAAGACTTGAATTGGAGAATACAATGGTCTTTGGGTATTTCATTGCACCCTCCCCTCCCCCCCCTCCCCCCGAGCAATTGAGGTTGAGTAGGATGAAAAACCTTTAAAAATCCAGGCAAAAACCTGAAGGTAATGCCACAATTATTTGAAAGGAAAGCCCAAGGAAGAAATTCCCATTGCACCTTCTGGGTGTTAATGTGTTCTGATATTGGGAAACACAAACACCTGTTCAGAGGTATGTGGTATTCCTTGGATGCTAAAACACAGATCTGACTGCGTTCTGTCATGACCTTCATGGTAAAGCTAAGAGCAGGTTGAACTAGAACACAGTAGGTTAGTCTACATGAGATGCTGACTGCGCAGTAGCTGAATAATACTGCACAGTAGCACATCACAGCACCAACAGTGCTAATACCCTACTGCACAGTATTATTAGGCTAGTGCATAGAGGCATCACTTAAAAGATGTTTGCTGGCAGTACTGCACAGTAACTCTAGTTACTACACATTTATTTAGTACTTACTTATACAAATACTAAATAAATGCGCAGTAACCACTGTGTGGTAGCATTTCATTTAAACATGCTCAGAGTAAACCTTCTGTTAATGGGCAGTGGAGATGGTTAGTGAAAGGGTGTCAGACTTACATCCCATGGGCTGCATTTGGCACATACAGCTGTGTCGTGTGGCCTGTAGGACTTGTACAGGGACCTGGAATTTGGAGGCAGAGGGTGAGTGTTGCTCTGTTAACATCCACTGCCACTCTTGCCACTTCCACTGTGACTGGATCTGATCCAGGAGGGCCCCTCAGTCTATATCTGGCTGGAAGGAGTGTGCTGAGTTTGACACTATTAGTTTATGGATAAAGTTGAGGAGCATTAAACCCATTTCTCTGCATTTCTTTCACTGACATTGTCTGGAATATTAAGCTTGCATGGTGTCTAGAATTACCAAGTTTAAGGAGCATGAGGTACTTCCAAATCTCCTTGGATCACCAGAGTTTTTTAGTACACAGGATCTCAGTTTAAAACTCATTCAACACACCTGGAACACAGTTATTTCATCTGTGGAGGACAGCAGTTAACCAGCAACAAGCAACACTAGAATGTAGCAGAAAGCGTGTTTCCACATACTCTGAGTCATTTGTCTGTGAAATTCTTGTCCCTACAGAGCAGATAGGGCTTTATTTTTTAAGTCTGTCATTCAAATGCCCCTTACAATAACAGTAGGACACAAAACATTTCTGGGCTGGGAGGTATTGAGGGAGACATGGAGCTAGCAAATTGCACAGGTTTGTCAATTGATTATTTTGTGAAAGTCATGACCTCAGAATGTGCTAAGGATAGTATAAAACATGAAGTTTCTAACTGATTTTAACTCATGAAACCAGAAGATATAAAAGTAAAAGGCAGTAAATAGACGAAGAGGGAAGTCTCTTCTTTTGGAAGCCTCTTTACATATTCAGATAGCTGAAAAAACAAACCTACATTGTAGGCCAGTCTGCAATCTCAATACACTTAGGTGCCTGGGAATCTACCTAGGTCCTTAGTCTATTGAGCAGTCACACAAAAACACAGTCTAAATGCTCACTTTTTCAGTCAGACATAGATACAAATAAAGGTTAAATTTACCTTTCTTCCCAAAAGAGATATAAAATCAGTTGGTGATTCCAATGTAGTGATAATAATAGATGATATATGTAGGCAAGCTTTCCAAAGAAGCTTTCCTGCCTATGTCCTTAGATTAACATGGCTACAACCCAAAACCTTGCAAGATGATATATGTGTTATTTGGTAGCTTGATCAAGAAGTCAGAAAGTCAGGCTTCAGAAACTATAATGCTGTTTATTTAAAGTAACTAGCCAATTGCTCATCAAGAATGATGCTGAGTGGGGGGAGCTGGGGGGAGTGGGCAGGGACAGCACCAGCAGCCACCACCCTGTGCCACTTATGCCTTCCAGGAATGGGGGCGGGGAATTGCACGTGGCAGCCACTGCTGACACCCAATGCCCCACACTGCTGCCACTCTGCATCCAGCCCCATGCCAATCCCCCCACCCCGCACTTCACATCTGGCACCATGCCCGCCCCCATGCCACTGCACCTGACCCTGCATCTAGAGGCAGATTAATGCATACTGGGCAAACACAAAATGAGAGGCCCCCTCTGCCCATGGGAGCTGGGCTGTGGGGGGTGGGGCAGGTCCCTTTCCACTCCTGGTGCTGGTGGGGGAGGCTGGGCTGGGCTGGAGTTGGGCTGGAGTTGGGGGGGCACATGCCCACCTCTTCTCCCTGCTCCCTGCCCCCCTGTCCTGCTACAGCCAAACATACACACACGCAGACACACACACGCAGGCGTGAACAAAGACAGGTGCATGTTACTCTCACTCACTCTCTGCACCTGGGCACACAGACACAAACATACTCTCCCTGCTAGGAACACAGACACATGCACACACACAGACACAGAGAAGCGCTGAAGACTCAGAGGGGAGGGGAGCCGGGTGTCCAAGGAGAGTGGTCGCTCCTTAAGGAGACGATCCTCCAAACCCAGAGGAAGGTAATCCCCAGGAGGTTCAAAGGGGGCAGGAGAGCATATAAGCCTCCATGGCTCACTAAAAACATCCGGGAATGTCTCCTTGCCAAAAAGGAGGCTTACTCCCAATGGAAAGGAGGGGTCATCACTAAGGAG